GACCCAATTCTGGTGCTGATCACGCTAATAAAGTTTATTTCACCAAATAACGAACAGATTAAACTCAATTAAATAATCTCCAATGTCTTTTCAAAATCCAACTTCAAATTCATTATCAACATCTCTCACAGACATTTTCATCATTAATTTAAGGCGATGGCATAATTTCAAGTTATTTCCAGTTTTTTCCAGACACACATTTTCTACTCACCTTTCACTCTTCCAATTTTCCATTATCCCCCAAAAACGAAAGAAAATTTAAGTGTAATATTATATCGATATGGGGGAGAGTATCGACGAGAATTGAGAGAGTTGTTGGCTTTTAATTTTTGTATATTTCTTTTTTCTCGTTTTTTTGTAGAAATCGATAGGGTAAATGAACACTTTAAAGATAATTTTAAAAAATCAATTTTTATTTTTTAATAAAAAACAAAAAGAATTTTCTTAATTTTATTTAAAAATTTGAAAAACTTTGAAAAAAGTTCCCTTTCCATGACTGTTTAATTTTATCAGGATATTTTAACATTCCAGGGTTTGTGTTGTCCCAAATAGATTTGCTACATACTAAAATTCCCACTATTTAATTTTCTAAGATTGTCTCTAATTTAATTAAAAAATGTTCTTGACCTAAATCTATTTTAGCATTTAATGCTCACCTTTTAATAAAAAATCAACAACTTTTATCCGACCTCTTTATCATAGCAAAAATTTTATGTCCTATTGATTACGACCATACCGCGTTGAAAGCACGCCATCCCGTCCGATCTGGCAAGTTAAGCAACGCTGGGCCTCCTTAGTACTTGGAACGGAGACGTCCTGGGAATCGGGGGTGTCGTAATTTTTTTTTTAATCAAACGAAATTATATTTAATTAAATCATTTTTAGATTTATTTTTTAATAATGTAAAATTGTCAATTTCTGCTTGAAGTGAAAAAAATTTTGTCAGGCGGTATTTTAACAAAAATTGTATATTAAATTTATTTATTAGTGCCTTTTGATTTTCTCTCAACAATTTTATTTTTTCTTCCATTTTATTTCAAAATTGATTTTTTAATTTGGCAATTATTGATCGACATTCCCAAATAATTTATTTAAAAATAACAACAAAATTAAAGGATTCTAAATAGTTTTTTAAGGTAGGTTAAAAGTTATTAACTTGTTTTAGATATAGTATATACCGGTGGTAAGGTTTCGATATTAGACCCATGCCTTTCGATTCTTCTCGACGAGCTGAGTCGAGCGGCACCACTCTTTTTTTCTGGAGATGCCTGTGGATCGAGATATAGGTCCCCGAAAATCGAAAAACTATAGGGGGAGTAAGCTCAATTTCCGAACCGAAGAATCCTCGTATCTTTACTATTTTCAAACAATAGAAGGATTATTTTAAGGAAAATCAAAAATTATTTTTTTATCGTTTTATTTTTTTATCAATTAATAAAGCAAAAAATTTTATTTTTGCTAAAAATAAAATGTTTATTTATTATCATTCAAAGAATAAAAATTTGTTATTTAAAGGATTAAAGAATAATACTCACACATATTTATTGAGAAAATTAATTGTTTAAATACATAATTAAAAAACGTCCTCCAATTTATTTTTAAATTAAAATTTCCGGAACATAATTTCAGGAATCCCTCTTATTTTTTAATTACTTTCCAAATTAACACAAAAAATACTTTAATTTAATTGATTCAAATTTTTTTCCTTTCTGGAAAAAAATTATTTATACTTTCCTCCATTCGAAAAAAATTACTAAATATATACCGATCCGAATATATACCTGAATATATACCGACATACGGTCAACTCTCGATATAAAATTAACTTTGAAATAACGAATCTTCTAACCGGTCCCAGGCTAGGATTTATTTTTAAAATTACTCGAAATGGTTGATGTTAGGGTTGTCGGTTCTTGGAAAATCTTCGGATATCCGAAACCAAACCGAAGAATCCTCGGTTCGGTCCGGAACCGACAACCCTCGTTGATATAACTAACATTTTCTTCGCTCCTTTCCGGTTCTCTCATATTGGTATTAGACACCATAAATGTTCAAAAATTTAATTTAAAAAAATAATTTAATTATTTAAAGTTTAACCCCTCAAATGGAAACAACAAAAAGAAATTCCAATTCATTTAACAATAAACAAACAACAAAATTATTAAATGCTTTAGCAACCCTATTACCCCCACTTTTCCTTGAAGCTAGGGTTTTTGGAGGTGGAAAACAACTTGAATTGGTTACACAATTGGGGCTATCTATTCCAGCAACACAAAATATGGATATTGCTATTTTTAGTTAGTAAATAAAGTATTTCCTCTATTAGAATGCCACCTTTGGAGGTAATTGAAAAATAGAATGCCATGGCATTCTAATAAAGGAAATACTGTAGTTTTTGTTTTGAATTAAAAAATTGTTGGAAAAAATTTTTGCGCAAGGCGAGATACTTGCATATATTTTACTAATCTCTTATTTTTTCATTAAGTCATTTTTTCTCTCCCAAATCGCTTATTTTTTGAACCTCCTAAATTTTCAACTTTTATTTTTGTTTAATTTACTCTCTCAATTTTTTGTTTATGAAAAATCTGTAAGTGTATAAGAATCTAGCAAAGATTTAGCCATAAGGCAGAAATCGATGCTCGCTTGGTCTCGGTTACCCCTTTGGAGGTATTCTATCACTTAGCTACAAAGGCGACAACTTTTACATAAGATTTATGTTTTTTATCTTTTTTTATCTTTTACATGATTTATCTTTTTTAACATCCTTGCATTTTTGACATTTTTTTCATTTTTGTCTGTTTCACCTAATGCCTTAGGGCTTTTGCTTTTAGTCAACTTTAATCTAAAAAATCATGTAGATTTTTTAGCCTTTTACTGATGTCCAAAACCTAATATTTCCCTAAACTCAAAACCAAGAATCTACCTCCTTTATCCTTCTTCTTTCCCACATTCTTCTAAAAACCTTTGTAACAATACATACAACTGTGCAATTAATTTCAATCTGCGCTCTTTACCTTTTTTGTTTACAATTTTCGGCATTTTAATAAAATATTTTTAAAAAATATTTTTTTATTAAAAATCAAAAATATTTATTATTATTTTCCTTTCATTTCAATATATTTATTTTGTCAATCACAAAAGTCGATTTATTCACTTCCGTTTTTTTTATTTACCTCATTCAAAATTTATTTTTTTCCTCCCTTCTTTCTCTACCCCAAATCCTTTCCCTCTCTTAATTTCCTTTAATATATCAACTGACCAAACAAACAAAACAATTCAATCCATCAATCTGTGGAAAGAGATAAAAGCCAAATGATGCTTTTTTATATTTTTTGGAAGGCAAAATTAGCAGTTAAATGAAGAAAAGTTTCCGTTAAAATTCTCCTAAAACTTTAAATGTTTTTATTTGCAAACTTTTTTCTTATTTTTTTTCAAAATTTTTATTTTTTTTTGTTTTTAAAATTTTTTTAACAGACAATAATTTTTTTGATATTATTTTTTGTTTTATTAATTTTAAAACCTGGACTGTTAAAAATAGGGTAGCACCCCGTCCCACGAAACCACGACTCTGACCTGACCCCCGATGAATTTTTAGCCAAAAACCCCAAATCGAACCCCGAAAGCTCTACCCCGGCAAACTCGGTCCCCGACGATCCCGCCTCCGAAGTGCTACCCTAGTTAAAAATTTACGGAAATATGATTAATTAAAATATTTATTCGACAAAATTATAAATCACAAGTTAAGAATATTTCCCATTTAAAATTTTAATTCTTAAATTTTCTATTTTTTTTTCTTCAAATTTTTCAAAAAAAATAAAAATTTCCCTTTTATTTCTAAAAACATTAATTTATTTTTGGGTTAATCCAATTTTCAACCTGATTAGAGCTAATTATTTTTAATGATTTGAAAACTTTAATTATTTTCTCTTTGTCTTTAATTTCAATTAAATAAGTCTAAATTTAAACAAAAATTACTTTTAAAAAATTTGTTAAACTACTAAAAATTCAATTTATTTTTTTACAAATCTTTTAATATTTTTATTTAATTCTATGGTTATTTTGCCACCGTTGCTTGGCAAGATAATATAAATCCTCATATTCTGTAATCCTTAGCATCTCTATTTTTCGTATCAACTTCAGTGTATGAATTATTTTGGGCTAATCTAATTTTCAACCCAAATCTTTTCCCTCTTTTAATTTTTCCTTCTTCCTTTTCCAAGCTTTCCAATTCTCCGGCTTCTGATAGAATTTCTTTAAATTTTCATAATGTACCTTCTTTAAATTTAATATTTATCTACATATCTCTTTTTTTCAAATAAATATAATATTTACAACAAGTACAACTTTTTTCAAAATTTAATTCAAAAAAATATATACTAACTAAATTCCCTAATTTTGACCACAAAATCATTTGATCTCTTTTCTAAATCCTTTAAAATATTATTATTTTATTAATTCTTTCCGTTCCTCTTTAAATCCTAAAATTCTTAAAAATTTACTTTTTTGTGAATAGAAAAGGACAATTGCTACTTTATTTATTATAACTTTTACTTTTTAACCTCAAAAAGTAAATTGAGAAGATTTTTTGAAAAAAAACTATAATATCAACAACCTTTGTGTTATTATTACTTTTTTACTTATTTTATAATTTATGTTCTTCCTTGTATACATTCTCTCTTAAAAAATGTTCAAAAACATTTTTAAAATTTTGGATTTATTCTAATAGTAGCCTTAAACAATTTTCCTGAAAATGCACTTTTATTGGAGAGCCCCCTCTCTAATAACGAGAGACCCTTCGAGAGACCCTTCGAGAGACCTCTTCGAGAGACCTCTTAGAGGCCCTTCGCTAATAACTTTTATTGGAGAGCCCTCTCTCTAATAAAAGATCTATTACGAGGGAGATGGATTTCTATTAGAGAGAGCTTCTATTAGAGCTTTAAAAATTCTTTTTTATTTATCAGAAAATGTAGAAAAGTAAAAATTAATTTAATAAAAAATAAATGGAAGTCGGCTGTCTTTTGCGTTGGGTGCTCCGTTCATTTTCAACTTGGACTAGAAATTTATTTTGTCTTTTATCTAAGACTTCGTTTAAAGAAAATTTTTGTTATTTTCGATATGGAAATATTAGACTTGGAATTAAAGGTGTTTTTATTGAAAAAACAAAAAATTCTAAAAAAATTTTTTCGAAATTTTCTAAATTTTTTAAAAATTTTCAAAAAAAATTTTTTATTTCAGCCCGTACAAGTGGCGCAGCTTTTGCCGTTGGCATCGGTTCCTTTGTTGCCTACAAAATGCTTTGTAGACTAATAAAATCGAATAGTATATGGACAGCTTTGGAGCAGTTAAGTCCAACTGACGAACAAAAAGATCATCAAAAAGCAAGTGTTAGCAATAATAATGAAGCTGTTGTACTTGCAGAGGTTTTTCGTTGGGGAAATTTTTTTGAAAATTTTAAAAAATTTAAGGGATTTTATGCTGTCCGTTTGGGCGGAGAAAATGAGCTTCTTCGAAGGTTAGACGAATTCCTGTCTGCTTCTACTGCCTCTAAAGCAGACGAAATTGAAGGGAAACCTCATGTTGCTGTTGTACAGGTGCTTTCTCTTCAAAAAAATTTTTTTTGAAAAATTTTTGAAAATTCGTAGAAAATTTTTTTAGAAAATTTCAAAAAAAATTTGTAGAAAATTTTTGAAAAATTTCTAACCGATTTTCAAAAAATTCAAAAAAATAATTCAGGTTCGTCAAGCAAATGCCTTAAAACGATTATTTCGTCGCAATCAACATTTACAAGGAATTGCCTCAATGGATCAACAAATAAATTTAAATAATAACAGAGCAGAAAATACAATAGCGAGTAGAGGGGATATTGTACGTTATGGAGGAAGTGATGCTTTAATTGGTAAAAGAAGAAAAGAATTAACAAATGAAAATGACGAAGATAATGAAGGAAATTTAAGGCATTAATTTAAAGATTATTAAGAAAATATAGAATTCTAGGGGGGGGCAGCATTTCTAGAACTAAAAGGAACGGCTCGATAAAAATTAGGCAAAAATACTCAAAAATAATGCAAAATAAGGGCATTATAAGGGCAATAAGGACATATTTTCACTGATTTTCACAGTAGATTAAAAAGGCTAAAAAGCTAGGGTTTAGCGTTAAAGATTAAAATTTTGGGATTTTATGACTGTGAATGTTTGGAAAATATTTTTGTTAGTTTCCCCCAAGTATTCTAATAGAGCTTTGTAAATAGATCATAAATAGTTGATCTCTCTAAATTTTCAATTTCTTCTAGTGATTGTAGTCAATTATCTTGTAATACTTCTGCTTCTCGTGCCTTTTGTTTAAACAACCAAAATGATTCTGATTCTTCCTCAATTTGTTCTGGAAAAAGTTTAAAAACAAATAAATCAGCTCTGCTTAATTTAAATTGTGAAAATGAGCTTTTTTGGGAGGATGAATTTTCTAATGAAAGAGTGAATAATAGGAGGGAATTGGGGGAGACTGAGGAAATTGTGGATGATGAAGGTAATTGTATGGATAATAAATATAATTTTAAAAAATTAGTGAAAGTTATTCGAGTTAAAATAAAATTCCATCAACATAAAATTTCTCTAATTCTCTCTAAATTACATGCTATTTCGCTTTTCTCTAACCAAATTATTTTTTAGGCCTTTTTATCTTTCGCGAAAGAGAAGGAAGTCTTGGAGGTCTTTCCCAACTTTCTGCAATGAAAAATCTTGAAAAAATGTTTTCAAACGATTGGCTCGATAAAAATACAAATGAAGAGGATATTGAGGATGGTGACAGTTTAGTTGACAATGCTTTGGATAATGTAAGGGAAGGAAATAAAATTATCTAGAAGCTATTAGATTGTCGGACTTACCCTCCTCTCCTATTTATTCCAAATTTCCTCACTTTAGAGTAGGGCAAAACACCTACATACTAGCTAATCAGGAAAGTGTTCGGTTAATTAACCCCAGTTATACTCAAAGGAGTTAATTATATGGGTGTATAACCTTAGTAACGTTATATCCGATTTAAGAAAGACTAATGAAAATTACACAAAAAAATCTTTCCTTTTTCTTATCAAAAAAATATTATTTTGTAGCTACGTGAATTATCCTCACTTGATGATGTAGCTAATGCTGCTTGTTCTTGCTCTTCATTTGTAAATACTACACAAACAAAACAAGATAATTTCAGCAATAAATCCAGAGACGAGCCCCGACTTCCATTTACAGCTTACAAAATTGTTTTACAAAAGTAATAAAAATTTCCAAAAAATCCACAAAAATATTTTTTAGTGAACTCTCCGAAAGCTCTTCCTCTCTTTGTGGAGGAAGTACACGTTCCGACAGATTTGGACGTTATTGCTGTCCATCTTCTCCGCATAGACAACAGAGAAAAAGATTGGAAGCTGCTCCTGTCTGCACTTCTCAGGGGTAAAAAATGTTTATTTGAATTGAAAATTGAGAGAATTAAGAAAAATTTAAAGAAAGATCCAAAATCAAAGAAAAATTTTTACAAAAAGAAAATCAAAGTTATCCATCTTTACAATCATTTTTATCATTCATTTAAAGTTCCCCTCAAAAATCCCACTTATTGCACTCGGTCCTCCTTCAAACAGGGTCTATAGAGATCATACCGAAGCGAGATTTTGAACAAAAATCTCGTTTATCGAGATCTATATTTTTAGAGAAATCTCGTACGACATTCACGGCCCAGTCTCCATTGTGTATATTAATTGTACGGCTTGGGATAACTTGATAATTTTTCCATTAAAGAGAACAATCTTAATAATTTAGTTTATGGGAACTAACTAAAAGTGATGGCATAAATTCTCGCTCAACGTCCGAGAAGCAATGCTTAGAACTTTATAGAAGGAAAGAAAGGAGTAACAACAACAATAATAATAATCAACTTGGTCCAATGGTTGATAGTATAATAAGTATTAATTCCCACGCTTCTTCCTCAATGGCAACTTCCTCTTCTGCTCAAATGTTTTTTTTTAAATTTAAAAAAATTCTAAAAAGAATTTTCTCTCCTTTTAAAGCCAAATGCCTAATTCTGGGGCAATGATTGACTCAGCAATTGGGACAGACTTTCAATCAAGTGCTGATGATGATGATTGGAAGGAACAATGCTTCGAGGAGGGGGAAACTACTGAAAATGTTAATACACGTCCGAGAACGAAAAGTGGCGTTTTTAGGTGGATATTTTGAATTAAAAATTTGATATTGAAGGAAATTTTGTTCGTATAAAGTCTCGAATGAATGGGTGGGAGTTTATGTTAAGATAAGAGGGATAAAACAAAACATAACTCATTGTGCTACCATTTAGCCAACCGATGATGGGAGCTTTGATATTTTCTCTTAAAACGTGGACACAACAAGCATAGTTGTGTGATCTAGGTGGCGTAGTGACAGAAGACCCACGGACAGTATACCCACAAAAGACTCATAAGGAAAAATTTTTACTAAAAGTTTATAAGACCAAGATTTTACTAAGTTACGATACAAAAAACAAACAACGTAAGCCTATGGGCTGTCTTTGGGTCTTCTGCGTCGACACGATCTATGTAGGTAGCAGGGGACTAAATACAGGGAAAAGAGTTGCAAGAAATTACGAAAGTATTTACGGAATTACCTATATGGTTATCCAAAATTTTTTTTCACTTCAGAGAAATCTAAACATTAAAATAAAAAAATAATTTTAGAAGGTATGGCGGCGAAGTTGATTCAAGTAAAGGAATTGTTCTACGGCCTCTTTCAAAAATAAGTGAACAACAATCAGCAACGGCAACACCGGTAAAGAAAACAACAACTTTAGCAATAACCAAATCAAACAGTATATCAACTTCATCTTTGGATGGGTCAGAATCGAGTTTGGAATGGTTTTAACAATTTCATAAAAATAATAAAAGCCTTTACGTGTGCCTTATTTCTTTTTTTATATGGGTGGAGATCAAAATGTAATTTAACTGTCCATTTTGAACGGACTTGCCATTTTAAGGACTTTACTGGTTCGAAGTATTCTGATCTTTACAGAGACTTGACTATATTAACTAAATATAATCGTGTAACAATTATTGACATTCATGCAAATTTATTTTTTTTATTGTGATTAAATAGTTTAAATTTTTAATCTGACAATAAGTCAAACATTAATTTATTACGTCAAGAAAAACTATTAATAATAGTGGACAAACAAATATAAATCTCTCAATTATTTATATGAACAATTATGTGATTGAAGAGAAAGGGAAGAAGAACAACAAATGAATGAGTGAATATATTTACATTCTTAGAACCACGGATATTCTTTTGGAATTACCTCCTCTAATTGGCAAAATGCCGCCAATGAAGTGCCTATAGCAATAGCAAGAGACAGAAGCGTCAGCACGACCGAAGAGAAGATGCCACACTTGCTCTTTACCACCACCTTCTTTTTAGGTTTTGGCTGAGGTTTTGGTTGGACTTTGACGACAGTTTGTTCCACTTCGATATTCTTCTTAGCGGGTTTCTTTGGAGCTGAAAAATGATAAAAGTTAAAAGAGAATTTAATTGTTATTTCATTACCAGATGAAGTCTGACGCTTTGGTGTATCAGACTTGCCTTGCTTCTTCCCCTTTTGTTTTCCCTCTTTTTTCTTTCCTGGAAAATGAAAAAAATTATTTTTGAATTTTTGAACATTTTTAAGACTTACCTTTGATAGATATCGATCCTATGTTATCGATGATTTCGTACTCGGTTTTCTGGGTTGGCTTTGTAGGTCGAGAAACTTCTTCGCTTTTCGTCCTTGCCAGCGATTGCTTCCCATCGTCAACCGGTGGCGGTTGATCGTAGAGTTGGCTGTCTTCTGGTTTCCCCGGCGCTGCTGGTGGTGGTGGCTGATCGTAGAGCTCTCCGTCCTTCGGCGATTGATCATTTTGTGACATGCTTCAATGTATAAGTTACAAACTTTTTGGAGGAATGAGATAGATAATTTGGAAGATTCTGGCTTTTATACTAACTAGAAATATAAGACTTCGAACTTTATGTCTAGAAATAATATAAAATAATTAGGGTTGCTAGCTCGACCGAACCGAAACTCGAAAGATCGAGCAAGCCGAGGCTTTTCAGCTTGAAAACGAACCGAACCGAAAAAACCAAGCTTGAAAAAATGCACCGAACGTCGGCTCGAACCGAAAACGGCAACCCTAAAGTAACGGCAACCCTAGGTTCAAAAAATCCGAAAAAGCCCAAATATGTAGGTCCAAATTTTGACGAAATAGGTTTATTTTGATTGAAATTACATAAACTTTTATGATTTAACAATTACTAAATTTGAACTTTTTTTCTGAATTTTTTATTTTAAATAGGCATTTAACGAAATTTGAGTCATTTTTCAATGCCCAACTCTAAATACCGTTGGATTTAAAGGAATATCGTGATATAACGGGAGTTGATGGGATCAAATGAGAGATCAGTGCATTTGATGAAATAGGGATTGTTTGGCTTAAAGGGATTGGGATAGGTAGGTGAGTCGGAGCGGTTAATTTGAATTTCTAAGGATTAAAGACATATGTATCTTTGATTTAGCGTTATATTGGGGGATTATTTTTCCCTCCGAATCCCCTTAGATGGATTTCAAGGTTAACTAAAAAAAATAGTCAATTATCTTGTAATACTTCCGCTTCTCGTGCCTTTTGTTTAAACAACAAAAATGATTCTGATTCTTCCTCAATTTGTTCTGGAAAAAGTTTAAAAACAAATAAATCAGCTCTGCTTAATTTAAATTGTGAAAATGAGCTTTTTTGGGAGGATGAATTTTCTAATGAAAGAGGGAATAATAGGAGGGAATTGGGGGAGATTGAAGAATTATTTTTATTGTGATTAAATAGTTTAAATTTTTAATCTAACAATAAGTCAAGCATTAATTTATCACATCAAGAAAAACAATTAGGTAATAGTGAATCATTAACAAACTATACTACATCTCTATTATACAATTACGAGACAAAGAGGAGAGAAATACAATAGCAATGAATAAGTGAATATATTTACATTCTTAGAACCACGGATATTCTTTTGGAATCGTCTCCTCTAATTGACAAAATGCCGCCAATGAAGTGACCAAAGCAAGAGCAAAAGACAGAAGCGTCAGAAAAGACAAAAGTACGCAGCAACGTTTGTTCTTTACCACCACCTTCTTTTTCGGTTTTGGCTGAGGTTTTGGTTGGACTTTGACGACCGGTTGTTCCACTTCGATATTCTTCTTAGCGGGTTTCTTCTGAGCTGAAAAATGACAAAGTTAAAAGAGAATTTAATTGTTATTTCATTACCAGATGAAGTCTGACGCTTTGGTGTATCAGACTTGCCTTGCTTCTTCCCCTTTTGTTTTCCCTCTTTTTTCTTTCCTGGAAAATGAAGGAAACTATTTTTGAATTCTTGAACATTCTTTTTAAGACTTACCTTTGGTAGATTCCAAAAACGATACCTCCATGTCATCGATGATTTCGTACTCGCCTTTCTGGGTTGGCTTTGTAGGTCGCGAAACTTCTTCACTTTTCGTCCTTGCCAGCGATTGCTTCCCATCGTCAACCGGTGGCGGTTGGTCATAGAGTTGGTCGTTTGCTGGCGGCGGTGGCGCTGCTTCTGCTACTGATGCTGCTGGTGGTGGTGGCTGATCGTAGAGATCTGCAGTCTTCATCGGTTGACCAATTTGTGACATGCTTCAATGTATAAATTAGACTTTTTGGAGGAATGAGATAGATGATTTGGAAAATCTGGCTTTTATACTACAGGGTGCGTAAAAAGTCCCGGAATTTTTAAAATTTCAACTATTGGGTTTAAACATTGATTATTAAAACAAAATTCGTTCACAATCATATTCAGCACTATTTTTGGTTCAGAAAACATTTAGTCTATAAAAAATTTTCAGAGAATAGATGTCAAAAAGTCCTCTCAAAACTCCCCAAAAATGTCGTTTTATGAAGCGCTTGGTCGCAGCTGGTCGGCTGAACGGGTGTTGTTTACTTAAATGAAAATTTTTACCGTCCAACGCTGTCACAATACCCGAAACTTTCGCCAATAAGTCCGTAAGACTAATTAGTGTGTAAAAAAGACTTTTCCCGCAATCTGTGATGGTTCGGGGTAAACTTATTTTTATTTCGATATAAGAGAAAATAAATCCGTTTTGATTAATTCCGGGAACTTTTTACGCACCCTGTAGAGAACAGGAAATTTGCTACAAGTTACTTTCAACCACCATATCGAAAGCTTAGCTCAATTTAAAAAACTTGGAACTTTTTGATATGTAGAAATAACATATACCTAACTATAGTAAATAACTGTAACTTCAAGTTAGTGATAGTAACCAGGTCAATATTTTTATAATTGTTTCGATAACTGATTTTCAGTGAATGTTTTAAGATGATGACAATGTGAAAGATTGTGTGATGAAATAAAGGTGTTCGATGTTTAGATTGTTGAGTTAATCCTTTGCTTGAGAGTAGGGTTGCCAAAATAGACGGACTTGGGACAGAAAGATCGAGTCGGGCCTAAGATATTTAGCCTGAAAGTGACTCGAACGGCTCTCGATTAAAACAAGCCCGAAAAATGGCTCGGAAAAATTCAGCCCGACTCGACCCTACTAGAGAGTAATTGGTTTGCTTGAGATTAATTGTTTTGTGCGAGACTAATCGCTTTGCTGTTTTAATCAGCTGTCTCGATTTTTGCTTACATTCTCTACTTCATTCTCTTGAATCTTGTAAGCTTTGTTTGTTAGTGGGGAGGAGGAGACACCATGCAGATCAGGCCCGTAACTAGGATTTTTTTTCGAGGGGGGGAAATTTGCTTGCGCCAAATTTTTGGCGCCGAAGGCGCCAAAAATTTTTATTTTCAGCGCCGCAGGCGAAAATTTTTTTAATTTTAGAAGGCCGTAGGCCAAAAAAATTCACTTTTTCGGCGCCGCAGGCGCCAAAAATTTGATTTTCAGCGCCGCAGGCGAAAATTTTTTGAATTTTGGACCTCAAGAAGCCAGATTTCGTCCTTTTTTAGCGCCGCAGGCGAAAATTTTGAAAATTTCGAAGGCCGTAGGCCAAAAAAATTCACTTTTTTGCCCCAGCCCTTCCCCAAATTTTTTCCTTTTTCCCATTTCGGGGGGGGGGGGAATTCCCCCCCTCACCCCCCCCTGGTTACGGGCCTGATGCAGATGAAATAAAAACGGTAGTCAATTTCACAGTTACCTATCTATTTCCCCCACTGTATGGGTATTTAATTCTATTTTGAAACAAGTCAAATCTCCTATAATACAAAAATAAAATAACAAAGATTTCAAAATTAATTTATTACGTCAAGCAAAACAATTAACAGTGAACTGTGTATGCTAATAATATTTATATAATACAATTATAGTATGGGACAAAGGAAAGAGAAATACAATAACTCAACAAAACAACAATGAATGAGTGAATACATTTACATTTTTAGAACCACGGATATTCTTTTGGAATCGTCTCTTCTAATTGGCAAAATGCCGCCAGTGAAGTGACTATAGCAAGCACAAGAGTCAGAAGCGTCAGAATGACCGAAGATACGATGCCACATTTGCTCTTTACCTTCACGCTCTTTTTCGGTTTTGGCTGAGGAGCTGTTTGTTGTGCTTTGGCAGGTTTTTCCACATCAGCATTCTCCTTAGAGGGTTTCTTTGGAGCTGAAAAATGATAAAAATTAAAAGTGAATCTGATTGTTAGTTCATTACCAGATGCAGTCTGACGCTTTGGAGTGTCAGATTTGCCATGTTGCTTTTCTTTTTTCTTTTCCTTTTGCTTACCCGTTGGTTTTTGCTTTGCTGAAAAATAAAAGAAAATTTATTTTTCATTTCTTGAACATTAACTCAAAAACTTACGTTTGACCGACAGAATTATCGAGTTAATTTCTTCATCAGTGATGACCTCATAATCCCCGTTTTTCTCGGCTGGTTTCTTAGCTTGTTGTTTTCCTTTATTCTCCTTTTCGTCAGCTGGTGGCGGTTGATCGTAGAGTTGGCTGTCTGCTTGCTTCCCCGGCGCTACTGGCGGTGGCTGATCGTAGAGATCTCCATCCTTCGGCGGTTGATCATGTTGTGACATGCTTCAGCTTTGAAGTTTCTAATGTTGTGGAGGAATGAGCTTAATGCTCTGGATTATTCTAGTTTTTATACTAGAATTTCTAAACTAAGTAAAGCAGCTGGGCTATAGCTACTTCTTCTTTAGCTAGGGGAAAAGGTTATTCGGCGCTGGGAGCCAACCAGATCTTCAGTAGACCGGACTGATGTGTTATCGATTACACCCCGCCACCTACTGCAGAGCCTTAGGAATTAAATAGCTATATGCTTTACACCTATTTTATCAAGAATTTTACTAAGTTTACGAGGAGAACGAGACGAAGTTTATGAAACTTAATGAGATGGAAGTGAAGAATATATGTTTTGTTTGATAATTTGAAATGGTTTTTTAATGTTTTAGAAAAGAAGTTTCTGAGTTGTTCTTTAAGTTTTGTTTTGAGTTAATAACGAAGATGAGCTCCGACGGCACTCACAAGGGAACATTCCGAACTGTCAGTAAAAATTTCTAAATAAAAATTGTACCATCGTGTAGAGCGTGGTCGAAAACGTATCGTAGTATCCGGCTTTTTTGGCTCCGACCCCCATTTCGAAAAGTTATAGGGCTTCAAAGTTTTCGACTTTTGGAACGGCTGAGTCTCCCGCATAAAGAGAGATTTTTCTTTTATTAAGGAGAAAAATAAGACTCCCATCCTCCTTTTTTCCTTTGCTTTTCTTTTCCTATATTAGTTAAAGAAAGAGAAAAGGAGGAGAGAAAAGAAAAAGAAAGAGGCGTGTCTGCCATGCAGCTAATGTCGATTAAAAAGGAAAGAGGAGATGGCAGAGATGCCTCCTTTCCTTTTCTTTTCTCTCCTCTTTTTCTCTTTCTCTAATTAATATTGAAAAAGAAAAGGAAAGGAAAAAAGGAGAAAGCGAGTCTCATTTTTCTCTTTAGAAAGAGAAATAATAAGAAAAGTGAGTGGACTCAGCCGTTCCAAAAGTCGAAAACTTTGAAGCCCTATAACTTTTCGAAATGGGGGTCGGAGCCAAAAAAGCCGGATACTACAATACGTTTTCGACCACGCTCTACACGATGGTACAATTTTTATTTAGAAATTTTTACTGACAGTTCGGAATGTTCCCTTGTCAGCAGTAAAGCACCGGTACTGTACAAAAACAATAAAATTCGGTCATTTTGACTCTATCAAGTCAATCTTTATCACAACTGATTTTGTAACACTGCCTAGTAGCACTTTTGAGTTTAACAAACAAAGCAATCGAATTAAAAAATAATTTTTGTCACAAGAAAAATTCCATTATTAAAATTTATTTCGTAAAACAAAGAAAAAAAAACAAAGAAAATAGTCTTCATGGCAAATAGACACAACAACAATAACAATGAATGAGTGAATATATTTAGATATTTAGAACCACGGATATTCTTTTGGAATTACTTCCTCTAGTTGACAAAAAGCAGCCAATGAAGTGAACAAAGCAATCACAAGAGCCAGAAGCGTCAGAATGAACGAAGATATGATGCCACACTTGCTCTTTACCACCACCTTCTTTTTCGGTTTTGGCTGAGGTTTTGGTTGGGCTTTGACCGTTTGTTCCACATCAGCATTCTTCTTAGCGGGTTTCTTCGGAGCTGAAAAATGATAAAATTAAAAGAGAATTTAATTGTTATTTCATTACCAGGTGCAGTCTGACCCTTTGGTGTATCGGACTTGCCATGCTGCTTTTCCTTTTGATTACCCGCTTTCTTATTCTTTGCTGGAAAAGAAAAGATAAATTGCAATAATTAGGATTCTCCGCAAAACTTACGTTTGGCCCCTTTGATCGATGATATCATTTCTTCAGAGATGACCTCATATTCCCCTTTGTTCTCAGCTGGTTTCAAAGCTCGTTGTTTTTCTTTTTTCTCCCCTTCGTCAGCTGGCGGCGGTTGATCATAGAGTTGGCTGTCTTCTGGCTTCCCTGGCGCTGCTGGTGGTGGCTGATCATAGAGCTCCCCATCCTTCGGCGATTGATCATGTTGTGACATGCTTCAACTTATAGGTTGCTAATGAGATTTATGATCTGGATTATTCTGGCTTTTATACAAGAATTTAGTCCTAAAATTCTTTCAAACACCCGCGCCGAAGTTAACGAGCTGAAACTGAAAAGTATGAGTTGTTGAGTAACTCTTTAGCTCAAGCTTTAATGAGTAATTTGAAAATATACTTATTTTAAGGAGTCTGCTCAGTCTTTCTAATTGGTTAGTGCTTTTTGGAAACAAATGCTTTTGAATCATTTTTGAGTTTCATGTTGTGAGCTTAACGTGGATAAGCATTGAAGGCGAAGAAAACGCTAAAAAACACTAGCTTACTTTCTATAGCCAATAACTAACATTATACAAAAAATTATACAAAAAATTCGATTTTTTCCACCTAATTCTGGAACGCTTAGTAGTGAAGTGAACACACCTTCTTTTTTGGATTTGGGGGAGCTGTAAATTGATAAAACTAAAAAGTTTTTTTATGTAATCTGTCAATTTTATATAATCTGTCAATTATATTTTATGTACAATTGAGATATAACGAAAGAAATACAACAACTCGACAAAACAATAATGAGTGAATATTTATTAACATTTTTAGAACCACGGATATTCTTCTGGAATCGTCTCCTCTAATTGACAAAAAGCCGCCATTGAAGTGACTATAGCAAGCACAAGAGTCAGAAGCGTCAGAATAGCCGAAGATACGATGCCACACTTGCTCTTTACCTTCACGCACTTTTTCGGTTTTGGGGGAGCTGAAAAATGAAGAAGTTAAAAAAAGCGTTGTTATTTCAAGCTTGATTACCAGAAGCAGTCCGAAGCTTTGTTTCAGCGCCAACCACAGATTTGCCACGTCGCATTTTCTTTCGTTTATTTTCTGTAAAAATACAATTATCTCTCAATTTTAAACTTTCCTCAAAACTTACGTTCGCTTCCCATGAACGACATCATCTCACTACCAATGATCTCATCTTTCTCATATTCGCATAATTGGTGTGCTGACACCTCACTCGTTACTTGACTTAATTGAGTTTCATCGGCTTTTGGTGTGGGTTTCCTTACTGTAAATTTAAGATTACTCTTCACCCTTGAACTTCCTTGCAAAACTTACTTTCTTTTGGAGTATAATCAGCGAGCATTACACCACTGCTAACCTCGATTTTGCATTTCGGACCTGGCGCTATTTCGTCGTAGTTCACTTCGGCGGCCTTTGGCGGCTGGTCATAGAGTTGATCGTTTACTGCTGCTGATGGTGGTGGCTTGTCATAGAGATCTGGAGTCTTCGTCGGCTGACCAATTTTTGACATGCTTTAACTTGAAGGTACAAATTTTGTGGAGATTTTGAATATTCTGGTTTTTATACTAAAATTTTTTACCGAAAGACGAAAATTTTGTTTTAAAAATTGGGAAATTCTTCGACGATGATTAATAATAACCCGAAATTTAATCTTTAGCACGTATAGCAGTCAGTCACGATCCAATCCAATAAAATGATTATTTAACTCATTGAGAGCCTGAATTAAAAATTAAAAATCGAGAAGCTTAAGACTGCCTAGAAATTATTCCTGATTAAATTTATAGTTCATGTTAATCTACCATAACTTTGCTTTTGATAAATATTCTACTACAATTTTTAATTCATTTTTTTCTCGTAAATATAAAATAAAAATTTTGCTTAATTCTCCGAATTTTTAAAAATTTCCAAAAATTATTTTTAATTATTATTTTTTATTTACAAAATTTTGTAGTAACGTCTTCAATTTAAACAAAAATAGTAATTTCAAAGAATATTTATTTTTATTAAACAAAATTTTCCTTTTTTGGAAATATTAATTAAATAAACACATGTTTAAGATAAATTTTGTATTTTTTAAATTAAAGTTTCAAGAAAATTTTTTTGAAGAATATTTTTAATTTTATTAATTAGTTAAAAGAAAATTTTTATAGAAACAATGTGATTTTAGTTAGTTTGATTTATTGTGATTATTCTTATTTTTATGGGAAAAAATCGGAAATGTAAAAAAAGTTATTTTATCGAAATAAATATAGTAAATTAATTTTTTTTCAAACAAAAAATAATTTTAAAAGGTACTGCTATGATATTATAGAAGAAGTCTAGCAAAAGTTTAGCCACCGTCCACGATTCGAGCCTGCTACAGTGATACTACTGAGTTACGGTAGAGCTATTCTTTTGTCCTTTTAGATCGCTTAACCCTCGCATAAGCGTTTTAACTGCTCGAAATAAATCATCCTCATATTATCTCCCCACAAGCCCGCAAATGTCGAATCGGAAAACAAATTAAATGATAATGAAGTAATTAATACTATAACTCCTTCTAATTGGTGTTATACCTTCTAATTGGTGTTATATATAAATTGGTTATAACACCTTCTAATTAATACTATAACACCTACTATAACACCTTCTAATTGGTTTGAAAATTTATTAATCCTTGCCCAGTTTTATCTTTACTTAAGGATAAAGAAAAAGGATAAGGCAAAGAGTAACCGTTGCGGACAAATAGTTGTGGACTTGTGGGAAGATAACACCATAGCACACTTTTAAAAATTTAATTAACCTACTATAACACCTTCTAATTGGTTTGAAAAAAGGAAGTTAAAAATCTAATTCTTCCAGACATTAGTTTAGTTTAATAGACATTAGTTCAATACTTGATTAAAAAAATTTTTTTCACTCGATACAGGCAAAAATAGACTAATTTAGTAACTTAATTTTAAAATTTTATTCAACTACATATATAAAATAACATATTTATTCCAATTAAATAATTTTATTTTCTCTAGGAAATCCAAAAAATATACATTGAGAGAATATTCTTCTATATATTTTTTTGTTGTACTCCAATTATTCTTTTTTATTTACCTCTCTAATTCGTAAAAATTTTAAAAATTTTTTGAAAAAATAATAAAAATAATAAAAAGAATATTTTGACGTCAAAAATAAAAATATTCTAGTATTTTCTATATTTGTGGATTTTCCAAATTAGTAATTTATGTAAATATTTTTTTAATATTAAAATCGTGAAAACTTAGAGAAAAAACAAGAAAATTAAAAAAAAATTTTTTGCATTAAATCGGATAATTTCGTGAAGAAATCTTTCTATTAATTTAATGAGAAAGGTCCTTTTTTGATTATTTTTTCTCTTTAAAAATGTATTTTTATTTTAGAGATCGTTTAGTAATATTTTTAATAAATTAAATAAAAAAATATTTTTATAGGAGAGAAGGAGTTTTTTGTAATAAAGATGACTAAATTAAGAATATATTAAATATTTTTCTAGTATATACTTCCAAATTAATAAAAATTAATTTATTTTTATTTTTTGTTTATTTTCTAATGTCAATTAAATTAATTGTTTTTAAGTTCAAAATAAACTTTTAATAATAAATAAGGGATATTTTAAATATAAAATTTGTGGAGTTTCAGGACATGTGATATTACTATTTTTATATAATCCTAACAAAAAGTCTCGGCACCACATGATTTACCAAGTAGGGAAACAACACGGATTGTGAGCAATGCTTCGAAATTTTAGATTTGCTCGCATTCGCACTTCATACCAAGTATTAATACGAGGTACGAAGCAGAGATGGGTCGGAATTCCGATTTACGACGTTTTTCCTTCCGATTTCCGAAAAAAATTTTGATTTCCTTTTCCGACTTTTTGAGCCAGTTCCGATTTCCGACACCTCGGACTGTTCCAACGTACCTCTGGTACGAAGTTAATAAAAATTTTTAAAAGATTCTAAGCAAGCTGTCGAAAAGATTAGACCGTGGTCCTAAATATGTTCATATTAGAAAATAAATCAGAAAGAAGCAAAATAGCTTCGAACGTCGTTTCGACTCTAAAACGATAATAACACCGGTCGAAAAACAGGACAAGCTTCCTTCCTCAATCAAACAAAAATAAAGAAAAAAACAAAAATTTCATTCATTTATTCATTCATAATTCAATTTGCTCACAGATTAAAATCAAAATTAGAAAGGTGATATATAAAAATAACAAAAAAAACATATATTTAATTAACGAGGAGCAAATATATAATAATTAATTATTCATTATTTTACAACAAATTAATTAAAAAAATATTTTTTTATTTTAAAGAAAAGGGAAAATATCGAGGATTAATTTTATGGATAGAAAACTAAAAAAAATATTTTGCTAAAATTTTTTTATTTAAAAAAATTTTTTCAAAAAACAGCTAAATAACTAATAGTAGAGAAAAGAGAGACGAGATCATCCATTGGGAAAGATTAAAAAATTTAATAAATATATTTAGCTAAAGAATATCTAAAGAAAAGAAGTGTTAACATTGTTAATTAAATATGTAGTAGAGAGAGGTTATGGAGGAAATTTAAGCTCCAATTAATGAAAAATAATTTTTTTCTAATTTTCGTTTTAAAAATCCAGAAAATATTTTTTAAAAAATTTAACACTTGATTCTCATCAAAAAAATAAATTTTTATTTTATTCATAAATTTATTCAAAAAATTCAAAAAATAATATATAAAATATAATTTCATTAATTTTAAAAATTCTTTTTTAAAAAGAAGCGTTCTTCGGATTCGGAAGAGCACTAAACAAACGATAGATTTCCTAAGCAAATAATTATAATATTTAAAAATTAAATTGTGTCGGAACTGTATAGAGACTCTATTCTATGTAATAGACACTATTGTCCATAAAATAGAGGTTTTCTATTAAATAGAGGGTTTTGGCATTATGCCAAAAAAAGAGACAATTCGTCCCAAAATTTCCCACAGGGGTGTCTATAAAATAGAGGTGTTCAATAAGAGTTCCGGCATAATTAAGAAAATGAAGTAAAAAAATAAAGAGGTGATTCTTTGGAGATTTAAAGGAAAAAAATGCACAAGAAAAGAATGAGAAAAAAGGAAACAAAGAAAAAAATAAAAATAAAAAAAGGAATGATTGGGACAATTAAAAATTAATAAAATGGGTTTTTAATTAAATATATTATAAAATAATCAATTAATTAAATATATTATCTCCTCGCAAAACTTTCTGATTTAATTGCTGATAAATAAGCAGAAAATGTTGGTTCGCTGTTGCATAAATCATAATTGCAAACACAACGAAAAGCAAATTCTACAGCCATATCTGGCTTCATCATTGTTAGGAAACGGCTAAAATCGTAGCGCTAAAATGAGAAGGAAAGTTAGAATTGAGGTGCGGATATTTTTTTGTGAATTTTTAAAAAATTTTTGAGAACCCTAGAAAAAATTTTTCAGAAATTTTTCAAAAATTTTTTGAAAAATTTTGAAAAATTTTTTTTTGAAAATTTTTACAAAAATTTTTTTGAAAATTTTTGAAATTTTTTTGGAAATTTTTGAGATTTTTTTTTGGAAATTTTTTTTCAAAAATTACCAAAATTTTTGAAATTTTTATTTTTTCGTAATTTTTCTAGTTATTTTCCATTCGTCATCAAATATTCCCAATTATTCACCTCATAAATGCAAACTGTCAAAATCCGATATTCTTCTTGACTGAGTGCAAAAGCATTATTATACATTCCCAACATGTCATTCTCCGCCCCAATGCCAAACTGACTTCCGTTGACCATTTCTTTTCCAACAATTGTAGCAGGTACAAGGGCACAATAGCGCCAAGCATCGTTTTGTACAATTGTGATTTTGCCCTAAAAAAGGAGAGGAAATAATTATTTAAGGATTATTTAGAGCAGTGAACAATTATAAAAAAATTTTTTTTTATTTTAAGATAATTGCTTGCGTAAAAAAAGCTAATAACGTAATAAATATAAAGGTAAAATGACAAGTAATATAAAAATAATTGAATTGGAAAGAAAAGAAGAAGAAAGAAAAGACTATAAATAGAATTTTACTTGATTTTAAAAATTTTTTTTCCAAATAAAAATTTTTTCTAAATAGCCCCCTTACCCCCCCCCCCCTTTACACCCCTCAGCCCCCCCCCCTTCAAAAATAAATTTATTTTTATTTAAAAATTATTTTTTTCCCTTACATCATTTTTCTCTTTTCCTTTTTTGCCTCAATAATTTATTAGCATTTTTAAGCCTTTTTTAGATTTTTTAGCTTTTTTAGGATTTTAACTGAGAGAGGCCTCCAGATTAAGCGAGAAGCTGACCCGACTAAAAGAATTATTTAATACCCCCTCCCCCTGTTTAAATAGTATCCTTATTTAGATTCCGCCACTCTAGCAGTATGTAAGTCCAGAGGAAGAGAATATATACATTTTCCGGAAACTTTTTCCGGAAATGTGTCTGAATTAATTATAAGGAGAGGAGAGAGAAGAGAGAGTACATAAAAAGAAGAGAGACAACAATAATTTATTTAGGTAGACAGACAAGCTATAAATAAAACTTTTTTTAGTAATTAGCATACTTAAATGCTCTATGAACATTTAGCGCGCATCTTTTTATAAAACTAAAAGTTTTTATAAATGTTTAGAATAAATTGTTCTTTGTGTTCTATATTAAGTTTTTTTACACCCCCCTTCAAAAAAAAGTTTTACGTATTTAATTTATTCCTTCCTAAAAAAAAGAGTATTCACTAATTAAAAAATAATTTGTGTAAATCTCTCCGAAAAAATTATTTTTGTATTTTTTTAATAAAAATAAAATAATTAATATTAAGCAGATTTAAAAATAATAATTTTTGTTTGCATTGAAGCGATAGAAAAGATGATTATTTTTTGTCAAGGAAATAAAAACATTTGTTAAGAAAAAAATATTTTTTTTAAATAAGAAGAGAAAATAAACGCCCAGCAATTTTTAAAAATAATTTGCAAAAATTAAAAATTTTTGCATCATTATTATTTTTATCTTAAAAAATTTCCTAAAAAATTTCTTAAAAAAATTTCCTTACATTAACAGTTTCATAACAAGCTAGTCCAGCAACTGCTGGCAAATGGACGGCAAAAACGCACAGAGAGGCGAAAATGGCTGCGGAAAGAGACGAATTTGAAGAATAATTCCTCCGGCTATTATTTAGCCGGGAGGATTTCTGACAGTTATTTTGCTGTTGTTTCCTTTCTGTTGTTTCTGTTGTTGAACTGATAGGTGGAGAAGTGGAGGAGATGAAAGGGAAGAAAAGCCGACACATGGGGGAAGAGGAAAAGTTTTGTTGATTTAAAAAAGTATTGGTCATTTTATTAAGGATAGGTATCTCTTTTTTTGTTGATTTGAAGAATTATTAAATATTAGACTTGAGAAATTTTTTTATTAACTTTGAATATTAGCTGAAAAAAAAGAAAATTTAAATTTTAGTAAATAATGATTAGAAAATGAATTTTAAAAATTAAAAAATTCAAAAAAATGGAGGACACATGAAAGAAATTAAGAAAAAGAAGAAATAATCAGACTAGGACACGGATTATGATTTTGGCATCCGGATATTTACGGCGGATACAGACGGATATCCGCAGGCATTTTTATAATATCTGTATCCATATCCGTATCCATGTCCTAGTCTGGAAATAATTTACTCAAAAATCTGAGCCAAAAAATAATTTTAGAAATTGGAATTTAACCCTAAAAACACAATCTAAATTTAAACTGAACAAGGTTTCTTGTTAAAAAGTTTTCGCCCAAGGCTGAAAATCACACGGAAAGGGAATAAATTCTCAAGTTAAATATTTTTTTTAAATTAAATTAGAGATGAATGATTGATGTTTTTTCCTTTCGCGCATTCTTGTCAAAAAATTATTTTATTATTTTTTTTTCTAAAATTTTTTTGCCATTAAAAATGTGCCCATAAAATTTTTTTCTAATTTATTTTAATAAATTAATTTGTTAAAAATAAATTTGGGAAGTTTATTGCAATATTTGTAAACAATTTTTTGTTTAAAAATATTTGATAAAATATAATCAGATTTTAACATTTGCTTAATTAAATTTGTAAATAAATATTACATTACGTTAATAAAGATTAAAAAATATTTTCTTTTTCTATTAATTATTTAAATAAATAAAATGTTTATTAAATTATTTTATTGACTTAAGTGGATAAATAAATTTTTAAATCCTTTCCTTAAAGGATTTAAGGTTGGAGAACGAGTTGTGGATATCCCAATAAAAGAGAGCGTTCTATAAGGCGTTCTCTTCGGGCATGATATTGAGAGTAGATTGTAGTTGTATATTAAGCTAAATTTAAATTACAGCCCATTCATAAATACTTCAAAATTAAATATAGATTAGTAGTGTGTTTTGGATTAGAGACCGAACCGAGACGAGATCGCGATGGAAAATCTCGGTTATCGAGATCAAGAATTTTCCGAGATCTCGACACTTCCTGTCCAGTCTCTGTTTTGGATGATTACATGAAAAAATATATTAAAATTAGAAAAATTTATTCCAAAAATTTTTAACCCCATTCATGAATAAAATACTTGTCCGCCCTTGAGGTGTGTAAATTAAATAGAGGTATATATAAATATAATAGGGGTTATTAGTAATTAAAATATACCTATTAAAATAAATAAAATCGGAGAAAATAAAAATATATTTTATTTATTTAGCTGCGTTGTAATTGTTTGTATGAACAGGGAGAAATAGCCTAAATGTGTCCATTTTATATTAAAGGCTTTCGCGCAGATTTTGTATTTAAAGCACACACACCCGCCCCATTTTTTTGTCTCATACAAAAACCTCCATATTATATATTCCCTCATTATAAAGAAGAAAAAGGTTAAAAGGGGCGGGGCTTTAAAACTATTTGAATATTAAAATTAAGGGCGGAGTTTTTAAAATAAAAGGGGACATTGGAGTATGGAGAAGAGGAAAAGAAAAAATAAATTTTTTTGATAATTTTTAGAGTAGTCAGAGAGTAAAGAAAACCAGAACATTAATCAGAGGAAAAGCTGTTTTTGTTAAACTGGTTGATCCTTTTCCTATGATTCACTGGTAATCTAGAACAAAAACGAAGCACAGAACCAGAATCCTTGGGATTTTCAGTTAACCATCTTATGACGGTGGTTAACCACGTGGTTTTCTTATCTTACCGGTTTACAATGCCCTTGTGTTACCTAACCATAGTTATATGACGATGGTCCATCGTCCGGTGACCGAGTTCTTATTTTAGGGCTCTGAAAGCTATTAAAATTTAGCTTGATTTTCTTCTAAACCTTAAGCCAGCATAACTAACTACATATATAAAAGATTAGATCAGCGAGGATATACATTCCAGAGAATTCCAGTAAATTCCAGAAAGATCGCTTAAAGTCAAGCCTAAAAAATTTACATTTTTGTGTATCAAAAAATCTTCACATTTAATAAAAATTTAAAATATGTTTTGGTAAATCCGTTAAATTATTTTTCTATAAAAATAAAAATATGTAAATATTAAAATAACAAAATCTCTTTAAATCTTCTTAAAATAATTTAAAAATAGCTCAGAGTGTTTTTAATTTAGAATTTTATTTTGCACTTTATTTAAATTAAAGCAAAAATGTGGCAATTTATATTAATGTAATAAATATTTTAATATCTCAAAAATTAGGGCTTAAAGGTGAAAAAGTGAAGTATCAATGGGTGGATAAACAAATATTTAGTTACATGAAGGATAAAATGGAAAAATAATAAAAAATCAGAGAAATGCAAAAAAAAAGATTAAAGCAAAAGAGTATCCTGAGCAAAATTAGAATAAATTTTGGAGATCCAAAAGAAAATAAAAGAAGCTACAAAAATAATTTACTTTAGAATCAAAAAATAATTCAGAATATACATACTTATGGCGACTTTTAAGGATAATTAACATTAAATTAAGCATAAATCAGTGATAAAATGGATATATAGAAGTATCTAGGTATATAAAAACAAGCTAATAATTATTCCAGAAATAATATAAAGCTTAAAAAATTATGGAAACGAAGTAAAGTTATGGGCTAAAAACAGCTATTATGAAAGATATTAGTTACATCAATTTACCAGACATTGACGCATTTTAAAGTTCCTTGCTTTAAAATGAGAATAATTTAAAGCAGGCATGGTAATGGATACGGATAATATCCGGATATCCGCGGATATGACTCAAAAGTTGCACAGATATAAGTGGATACGGATATCAAAATCCGTGTCCATTACCATGCCTGATTTAAAGTTTAATATTTTGCTATTAAAAATACCTTTAAAAATTAATTTCAAAAAATGTTATTCTCAACTTTCGGGGCATCAAAAGTCGGTAGCCGTAATTAAATAATAAAAACTTAAAAAACAAACAAATTAAAGAATAATCAGGAAAAATAAAAGAGAAACAAAAAATTAAATAATAAATATTCCAAAAAAACCCCCTTTGACTATTTGCCAAATAGAAACGTGTAAAAGAATTGCAAAAAAGTCTCTAATTTAAATTTATTAAAGGAAAGTCATAAACGACACGCCATTTTGATAACCTATGATGCTTTTAATTGTTTAACAATAAATTTTATCACCACTTGCCTAAAATAATGAAATATAATAATGAGTGTTTAATGACAAGTTTTTGGTGTTTAAAAAGGAAAAAAGAGCCGTCGGCGCCTTCTCACATCACTCATCATTCAATTTAAAAAAGGAGTGAAATGCCCAAAAATGGGAATTTTATTTTTGTCATTTTATATCCAGAAATATACCTCTTTTTAGGGGGTTTTTTTCAAGTCTTTTTAAAAAGATATCCACTTTACTTCTCAAATTTAAATATGCCAAAAATGGGATTTTCCCTTTAGTTTTTTAAATGTTTTTTTAATGCCTCTCAAAAAATATTCATTCCTTTCCTCCATTAAACCAAAAAACTTTTCTTCATTTTCGAGGCCCACTCCTTCCGTTGAAAAAAAATTTTCTTTTTTTGAATTATGTCTGGGGCCACCCATCAAAAACTTTTGCAAAATTGAAAAAAAGGAAAGAAAAAATGTGTGGAAATCTCATTTTTTCTTTGATTTCATCACATTTTTGAAGGAAAAAGAATTAAAGTCCACCCCAAAAATGAATGGAAAAAAGACGGGAAAATTTTGCGAATAATGAAATAAAGAGGCGACTATAATATAATGACTTTTGGTTGGAAAAACTTGTAAATTTAATTATAAAATATAGACAAAAATTATGAAATTCTTCAAAAATTCTTCTTATAAAATTATATAACTTCTTATAAAATTATCTGGTACTTTTCTGTTTTGCCACATCCCACCCATATATTCGCAGGATATATTTTTTATTTTTCCTTTATTCGTACAGAAAGGTCAGTTTTCTTTCTTCCACAATTTCACTTAATTTGCCCTGTGGACTCAATCTTCCGTGTTCACTCGATTTTTTTAAATGTTGATTTCAATGTTGACGACATTGGAAAGAAAAATTAATCTTCTCTTTTTTGGTGTCTCTCATTGAACATGCCAGAGGGAAAATTGAAGAAGAAAGAAAACTGACCTTTCTGTACGAATAAAGGAAAAATAAAAAAATATATCCTGCGAATAATTGGGTGGGGTGTGGCAAAACAGAAAAGTACCCAAAAATGGAAAAGGATGGATTTTGGCAATGAAATAAAAAAAATTTTTTCGAGCAAAATCTATTTTTGAGACAATGAAAAATTAACAAAAAAAATTTTTTTTAATAGCCTTAAATCCACTTTTCCATAACAAAATTTTAATTTAAAAAAAATCTGTCATGTCGAATAGTCGATACCCTACAAGAGTATCTGATGCTCGACACTAGTTATGGGTATGATCCGGGAGCTATCTCTAGCTAGAGCCGAAGCCAAAGAAAAGATTAGGGACGGAGATTATGGACGGTTATAGCTCCCGCTTTACAATGACCTGCCCACCTTTCAGTTAAATAAAGTTTAACCTTGTCATGGAACTTCCGATTGGGAAAGTCCACTTTTTTTTTATAAAAAAGGAAATAAATTTAATTAAATTTTAAATAAAATTAAAGAATTAAAAAATTAGTATTTTAAATATGTAAATTTAATTTCTAATTTTTAAATTTCCGTTTAAAATAAAAATCCAAAAATGTAAATAATTTAGGTAAGTACAATAAAGGAGGAGAGATACCCCCCTTTTTTTTATTTTAAATTTAATATTTCCGTAAAATTCGGGAAAAAAGATGAAAGAACGAAATTAAAGAACATACTAGTAACTACTTTTTACAATTTATCACTACTCTCCACATCATTTTCACCAAAAA